CCTCGTATCTGCTCTGAGTTGCCGGAAATAACTCGGTGGAGGCTACTCCGTCGGCTGCATCACTTGAAACTCCCTCGGTGCTGCTCTTTGTTGCCCTAATTTCTTTTTTTTCCAAATCACTTGTTAATTATAATGTTATTATAATTAAATTGACATTATTGATATCAATTCACCTAAATTTTATAGTAATATCAATTCCTAAATGAATCTATATTTAGAATAGTGGTCGATCTTTCGGGAGTCAATTTTTGTTTAATTTACCAACCGAAGCATAAGTATTTGAACACATGCAAGTACTGCAAATTTGTGTTCAGCCTTTTTAATTATTTATTTGGTGAGCCAGTTACATTATTTTTACATTGCATTGGTTGATGTTCAATATATTTATATGGCTTATTGAGGAAATAATTTCTGTAACAGAAAAGAAGTAGCGGTTTCCAGTTATAGAAACCGCTGTTTCAAGTGGCGGTTTCTTGTTATAGAAACTACTACTTGAAGTGGCAGTTTTCAAATGAACTGGCAAAAAAAAAATGGTTTTCTCTTACATGCTTATGTGAACGGTAATGTGGGAATTAAAAAAAAAAAGAGTCTTTTGCTAGCATTATTTTGGAAAAGGGCTCAATTTAAATGGTCAACATTATGCATTGGAAACCATGCTAAACATTCACTACTAGAAAATAGCCAATCAACGACGGAAAAAATCCGTCGGAAAACCCTGAAATTCCGTCGGAAATGCCCATTTCCGGCGGAAGGCACCGTAGCATTACATTTTGTAGGAATTTCACGATATTCCGAGGGAAAATCCGTCGGAAAGGTGTATTCCGACGGATGTCGGAGTCAAGTTTGACTAAATTGGGAAATCCGTCGCAATGTTCCGAAGGAACATTTTCCGTCGGTTTGAGTTACCTTCTGACGGAGAATTCCGTCGCAACCAGCCATGCTTCCGACGGAATTTACCGGCGGAACGTTTCGAACCTTGCGACGGATTTTTCCCTCGGAAACTTGGGAAGCTTGTGACGGAAAAAAAATCCTTAGGTAATTTACGACGGAATTGTCCTTCGGAAACTTATGTGCGTTGCGACGGAAATAATTTCCGTAGGAAAGTTACGACGGAATTAGACAATGTAATTGTGTTTTTTGGCGGGAAATTGCTACCATTTAATACCTATACCTCCTGCACCTAATATCACGACAAAATTAAATTATTGATTTTTTTACAAAAATATTTATATATATGTATAATAATAATTCCGTTGTATACAACCATAAAACGTAATCCAAATTTTGAAGTCATATAAACACTACATAAAATAAAGCTAAGCAACTGCCGAAGTACCCTGCCCTGCTCCGCCACTACCCGGGCCGTCGTCCCTAGGTCTCGATGAGGAGGTTGCAAGGTGGAACATGTGTCATTAGGGAAACGACTCATCATCCACTGTTCCCACCTCTCCTGGTTTCTCCTCTCCATGGCTTCCATTTGGGCTTGAATTGAGGCTTGAATCTGGGCTTCCATTTCACTCTGCATTTCACTCTGAAGAGCATGCACCCTGTTTTCCATCTGATCCTACATCTGAGAAACAAGGGAGGGCGTGTACTGCTAGGAAGATGTGGAAAGTCGACCCATCTGGCTGCCGTAGTAAAGGTCTGCACTTCCGCCAAGTCCCTTCACACACCCCTTTTTGTTCCGACCACCCACGGTCTCCCAATACAGCTCATTCGGACTCTTCTGAGTCCTTTGAGTGCTAGCCTGCTCAACCCTATTTTGGTAGGCCTCCTACAAGATATACATATGAAAAGGAGCAAACGAGTTAGTAAGTTATATAAATAAGCTTTGGGTACCATATTCATGAAAAATGAACCAAGTGTGGCATAGGTGACTTCTACTTAGCCCAATTTCTTCATTTCTTAGTGAATGAGCTCCTTTGTTCTCATTCTATATCAATTATACATAGTTTTAGGTGTGTAGAGCCTGAATTGACCCAAAAAAACAAACAAACTAAGTTTTGGGTCCATATTCATGAGAAATGAACCAAAACTGGCCTAGGTGACTTCTATGTTGCCATTTTCTCCATTTCTAAGTTAATGTTCTCATTTATCCTCCTAACATGTCAATTATAGATAGTTTTAGGTGTGTTGGCCTTGAAATGACCATAAAAAAACAAAGAAACTAAGTTTTGGGTCCATATTAATGAGAAATGAACCAAAACTGGCCTAGGTGACTTCTATGTTGCCCGTTTTCTCCATTTCTAAGCTAATGTTCTCATTTCTCCTCTTAACATGCCAATTATAAATAGTTTTAGGTTTGTTGGCCCTAAAATGACCCAAAAAAACAAACAAACTAAGTTTTGGGTCCATATTCATGAGAAATGAACCAAAACTGGCCTAGGTGACTTCTATGTTGCCCATTTTCTCCATTTCTAAGCTAATGTTCTCATTTCTCCTCCTAACATGTCAATTATAGATAGTTTTAGGTGTGTTGGCCCTGAAATGACACAAAAAAACAAATAAACTAAGTTTTGGGTCCATATTCATGAGAAATGAACCAAAACTGCCCTAGGTGACTTCTATGTTGCCCATTTTCTCCATTTCTAAGATAATGTTCTCATTTCTCCTCCTAACATGTCAATTATAGATAGTTTTAGGTGTGTTGGCCTTGAAATGACCCAAAAAAACAAAGAAACTAAGTTTTGGGTCCATATTCATGAGAAATGAACCAAAACTGCCCTAGGTGACTTCTATGTTGCCCATTTTCTCCATTTCTAAGATAATGTTCTCATTTCTCCTCCTAACATGTCAATTATAGATAGTTTTAGGTGTGTTGGCCTTGAAATGACCCAAAAAAACAAAGAAACTAAGTTTTGGGTCCATATTCATGAGAAATGAACCAAAACTGGCTTAGGTGACTTCTATGTTGCCTATTTTCTTCATGTCTTAGCAAATGAGCTCCATTTTTTTTTTATTACATGTCAATTATTGATAGTTTTAGGTGTATAGTGCTTGAAATGATAAAAAAAACCAAATTAACTAAGTGTTGGGTACCATATTCATGAAAAATGAACCAAGGAACTAAGTTTCGGGAATCTTTAACCGCAATTTCCTTAGCTTTGGGGTTTACTGGCACTGTGTCTTTCCCAGACAGATCCTTGAAGTGTGTCTTCAGAAACAACTCAGGAGCTGTTGGTAGCTGGCCCTTATTCTTCGCTGCCTTTTATAGAAAAAAATAGGAACACACGTTAAACATGTCACACCCCCGTTACATTGTAATACACACAAATGCCTTCTATTATACTTGCTTTATAAACAAACTTACCATCCTTTTTGCATGTTGGACAGCCGACAACGAACCCTGAAAGTGGGTTCCTTGGACGGGATTTCCGATGGAATATTCCGTCGGAACTTGAAATTTTCGAGGGAATTCAAATCCGTCGGAATAATTCCAACGAATTTTTCTGTCGGAAGGTACCTATTCCGACGGATTTTTCCAACAACTCCAATTTTCGCCGGAAATTTTGAATTTTCCGAGGGAATTGCGGTCTGTCGGAGCAATTCCGTCGGAATAAAGCCTATTTCTAGTATTTATATAAATAGAAAAGTATTTATACAATTGAGGAAATGCTCAATTAAATTACGTTGTTTTTACCTTGCCTCAAATTATTTTCCTTTTTATTCATATTTTGTAAATTATATGACATAGAATTAATAAAATTGAGTTTACGAGAATGAGTAATTATAACTTTGGAGGATCTAATAAATTGAGAAAGATTCAAAATTGATAAGTATTTTTGTATATAAAGTAGTCCTACAAATAATCTAAATAGATTGTATAATGATGTAAAATAAATCAAACAAATATGTGATATTTCTTTTTGAATGTATGTAGTCTAGAGGGAAAAATATGGATCTAATAAATTGCGAAGGACTCAAAATTGATAAGTATTTTTTTATATATAAAGTAGTTCTACGAGTAATCTAAAGAGGTTGTATGATGTGAAATAAATAAAAAAAATTTTAAGATATGAGAAGGAAAAAAAAATGGTGTGCACAAAGATTTGATCCTTAAACCACTAATCAAAATAATAATGCAATTCACCATCTTAGCTAAAGTCAACATATGTTTAAAAAATGCAAAAAATAAATAATATATTTAATTTAAATTTATTTGTGGTACATTGTGGTACGTTGCTTTAGTGGTACACAGCGGTACGCTTCATTTATCGTAGAATTTTCGCAACCCTTGTATCAGTTTGAACTACGTCCACTTTTAAGTCTTGAATTACACTCCTTTTTCTCACAATAATCTTTTTTTTTTTTTTTTTTTAAATGGTAAGAAGGGGCCTCATTTGAGGGGCACAATAATTCAATTGAGTCCCAAATAAAACCTAGGCAAGTTACAAGTACTTGTACCAAAAAATAATTTGATAATATCAGTAATTAATAAATTAATTAAATCACACTTTCACAGTTGTTAATTTTTATCCTCCATTTAAAACTACCATGCCACATCAACTAGGATGTTTATGTTAGAGTTGAAGTTTTTGTAGTATGTTGTTCGAAGATTGAACTAAATACCGGTTTTTTTAGGGGCATAGTAAATCTCAAACCTTTGTTTTGTGTAGGGTGATCCATCTCTTGATATTGCTTAGATATCGTGCTGATTTTTCTTGGTGGAATTTGGCACTCTTTAGGAAAGTGCTGTGCTTTTTTCTTGTAAGGAACTAGGAATTACATACAAAAATATTTGAATTGATCTTAATGGGAAGATAGGTAACCATATCTTGGACTCTTCCGTCCATCCTTGGGACTTGGATACAAAAAAAGTTGTAGAATGTTTGGATTATTGGGGTTAATTAACATCTTCTGTGTGAAGAATAAAGAGTTGCTCTTGTTTTTTCTCATTAGTATCGGAGCTAATCCTAGATTGTTGATGCTGTGCAGTTTGATTTAATCACAACTCGAACTCTAAGGCAGTTATAAAAAGGTTATTTTTAATGCTTCTCACCTATAATTGCTAACGTTTAGGCTTCTGTTCCCAGCATTTTACGTGAATAGTTGGTGGGGAGCAGCTGCCACGACCAGTTTATTTGTTGCTGCAGCAATCACAGATTGGCTTGATGGCTACCTTGCCAGAAAGGTATCTGTAGAATAAAGTTATATGCTGAGATGAATTTGTTTACTTCCCTTACTTATTGTTGTACTTGGGCGATTTCTTTCAGATGCATCTAGGTACGGCATTTGGTGCTTTTATGGATCCCGTGGCCGATAAGGTACTGCCTATAGGAAGAACCTTTGTAATGTTGTTGATAGTTGAAGTATTTTTTTAGTAGTTTATTGATTCATCTTCTTGTTTAATGCAGCTTATGGTTGCTGCAACATTGGTCTTATTATGTACAAACCACCTAAAATTGCCTTATTCGGAGATATCCCTTGGCTATTTCCAGTACCAGCCATTGCAACTATAGGGAGAGAGGTTTCTTTGCATGCCCTTTGCTTTTAAATTGACAATTTTTGCAGATAATATATATGTGATGTAATTGATTCTGCCTTATGTCTGTGTGTTCTGTTGACAAGTTTGAGCTGAAAATTGGAAACACATACCATGCTTTTAAAGCCAAGCATTCGTTTCTTTGAATTAATGTACTTCGAATAGTCTATCCTGAAGTTCCTTGGAATTCTTAGCTGAAAAATTGATGATTATGGAACTTCCAATTTAGTGCTTTCTAAAACACAGTGGTAAATTGATTGGGTATGAAATCTTAGTTCATGGAAAGAAAAAAAAAAAAAAAAAAAAGAGGGTTGGGGGGGGGGGGGGGTTTATGTGAGCAAGTTATTTAGAGTTGGAGGCTTAGGTAGCATTCCCTGTTTATAGGTTGCATTTCCCAAACACAAAGGCCTTTACAATTTGTGCATTTGTTCAAGTTTCAAGTGACTAAGTATACTAAAAAGTCTTTATTTTACATTTTGTTGGCAATAGAGTCCTGTAGAATGACCGTTCTGTTGTGATTTGTGACTTTGTTTACTTGTCAAACAACAATATATTTTCATGCTCTTCTATCCTTTGATTCTGATCTAAAGCAGTTGCTTGAATAAGCTCCTTTTATTCCATCATAAACTTTGTTACTACCTCTGTTTTTTTTTTTTTTTTTTTTTTTTTTTTTTTTTTTTTTTTTTTTAATTTGCTACAAATGGGTATTTTATGTGAGACATAAAAAAATTCATTTGTTGCAAAAAAAAAAAAAGAAATGGAGGTAGTACTATTTTTGGGGTGTCCTACTTCACATTTGCTTTTGTATGAAGTTTAATATTTTAAATTGTAGTATTTCCTCTTTTCTCATCATCCCATCAATCTTTTTTCTTTCTCATCCTTTAAACTAACTTCCTTTATACACGGTCAACCTTTACACTACACTCAACAACTATTCTTAATATTTGTGCCCAACCTCATGAGGTCCATTATAGGATACAGGGATCATTGCAGTTTCAGTTGGGTTTCTTGCTGCAAAGAAAATTACTGGTTCAGGGTATAGTTTTTGATGATCACAAAGTTTGACTTTTGTGGCCCCAGTTTTATAAGTGTTACCATTATCATTTAAAAAAATTGTTAAGGTACAACAATTTGTTAGTTTTGATTGTATGGAGTATGATAAAAATTGTTTTTTATTTGTCTGATTTAATAATTTTGAACAAAAGTTATCACTTAAGTATTTCCTGAAAGACAGTAAAAAGTTAAAAGGTACAATAATTTGCAGACAGAAAAGAATCAAATATCTTTTGAAGAGTTCTGTCAATAAAATTGGCCATTAAATTTCAATTTTTGGAATCTAGTTGTCATTAGGTATACAATCTTTACATTCTTTTCTAGTCAAATACTTGTAGGAAACTTCCGTGAAGCAACTTTACTTATAATCATATGGTTGAAATTCTGTTAAGAGAAAGAAAAAATGTGGGAATCAAATAGGTTGTTGAGAAAGACTGAAGGACTAGAAGGGAAGATTTGGGTGTGTAGTTGCTTGCATTTGACAAATATTTGTGTTTATATAATCTGTTCTGCATTGAAATTTGCTGAATTGTATTCAATATCACCATTTCCATGTCAATACAAGACACTATTTGCTCTATTTGTGTTTAGCAGCTTAGGGAATAATGCGCAAAGCGAAGCAAATCTCATCTATTTGGATTAATATGTTACGTTAAAAATATATGCCAACGATTATGATTTCTGTGATTTGAGGAGGCTTTTCTTTAAATGATTGTTAGTAATTAACAGTAATTGTGTCTTACTATTACTAGTTTTACTTTCTAGGAGAGTGGGATAACATTGGTTGACCGATGAATAATGCGTCAAATTAAAAGGTGGTCATAATTATGGTAATAATGAGCTGAATAAGGGAAAGTGAGAGGGAAGGATGATTGTTCAACTTCTTGGTCACCAATTAACGCACCCTTTGTGATATATGGTTGAACCTGGCTTTTGTTAGAAATTTTGATCACATGCTTGTATTGTTTACAAAAAATGAATAATCCTCTCTACTGCTTCCTTTTTTTTTTGGCTATACTTATACTCACTTCTACTCTGTTCCCTTTTTTGCAACCCCCCTTTACTTATTATTTTACCCTCTTATCCTACAAAATTTACACCTTACTCTCTCTTTCTCTTCAAGTACCTGTTTCTTACAACTCACCTTTTTCTCACACCCTCTCATTAAAATTTTTTTCTTCAGATTCTTAATACTCCCTCCGCTTTTAGTTATTTGCAACAATGGGAGGTTGCACACATGCCAAGACAAATTTTTTAGAGATTGATTAGTAGTGGAAAAGGGGGTAGTGGGGTATGTGATTAAAGAATGAAAAAGGGAGGGAAAGTTATTCTTTTTTTATAAGGAGAGAGAAAAAGTGAAAAGTGTGGAACCAAATTTAAAATTTGGGGGCAATTTTTTGCCCCAAATTTTTACCCCCCCCACGTTTCCCCCCCCCCCCCCTTTTTCCTTGTTTCAACATGCACACAGAAACATTAAGAGGGAAAATTTAAGAGGGAAACTTGAAATTTCCCTCCATATACAAAATCCTTACAATCCAAATTTTTCCCTCTATTAAATTCTGCATTCAACAGGGGGTATTTAAAGACCCTGCCTTTAACATCAGAATATTCAATGTTTACAAAAGATTAAAGGACACTTAGTCCTCTTCCCAATAGTCAAGTCTAACTAAAATCTAAAAACAAAAAATCTTAATACAAAGTCAGTTGCAGCTTAATCTTCTTCTTCTCTGGTTCAAAACATCAACCCAGTAAAAAAAAAGCTCCCACTCATCATCACCAGACCTGACAGCATCATAAGTACACTGAACATGTCAGGCATTTTTTCACATGATGCATTTTTTAGCATAGATCAGATGTTAAATGAGGAACTCAATATGGGAGACGTTCATGCAGACATGGAAGGGACAGGTCACAGTCAAAGCAACAGCACACAGCATGGGGGTGGATTTTAGGAACCCAAAGGAAGAAAGCAACTGACTGTTCATCAGAAAAGGGAACTAGTAGATGGTTATCTACTCAAGCTGGAGGGGGGGGGGGGGGAGTTGCCAAGAGGGTACTTATCACAACAAGCAAGAAAACTCAATGTGCACAGATCAACAATCCAGAGAGTTTTTACAGACATCAAAAACCAAATGGCAATGGGGAATGTCATAGATGTCAGAAGCAAAAAACTGGGAAAAACTGGACCCAAACCCAAAGAATACACTGATGAGTTTCTGCAGTCAGCACCTTTGTATAAGAGGGCAACTGAGAGAAGCTATGGAGCTGCTCTAAAGATTTCATCTACAGCCATTCATAAACTAAAGAAACAGGGGAGACTCAAAACTCATACAAGCACAAACCACCCAGCACTCACATCCAACCACAAAATAGCTAGGATGAAATGGGTCTTAAATCACATACTGCCTGCCACACAGAATAGGGACCCCAAGTTTATGGACATGCAACAAGTGGTACATGTTGATGAGAAATGGTTCTACTTGAACCCAGAAAATAGGAGGTTTTACCTTCTACCAAATGAGCCAAACCCTTATAGAGCCCAACAGTCTAAGAGGTTCAAAATCAAAGGGATGTTCATGGCAGCCATAGGGAAACCAGTGTTTTCCCCTAATGGAGAAGTACTTCATGATGGAAAATATGGAATGTGGTCATTTGTGTATGAAACTACAACCAAGAAAAAAAGCAAAAACAGAGATGCTGGTACTGTGGAAATAAAAGCCACACAGAATGTAAACAAAGAAGCTATAAGGGCAATGCTAATGACAAATGTTATTCCTGGAATCAAATCAAAATGGCCTTCACATCTGCCCAGGGACATATTCATTCAGTGGGATAATGCAAGACCTCATCAAATTCCAAGGGATGAGAGATTTGAATCAGCCTGTCAGTCAGAAGGATTCAACATTCAATTCATCTATCAGCCAGCATAGTCTCCTGACTTAAATGTGCTGGATCTAGGGTTGTTCAATGTAATACAATCCATACAATACCAATCCTTTCCCAAGAACCTTAAGGAGCTCATTGAAAAAGTGAAAGAGGCTTATGATTTGTTCAATCCAATGTTGAACAAGCACTGTTGGATAACTCTACAGTGTTGCATGGAAGAGATACTAAGGCACAAAGGAGGGAATAACTTTACCCCACCCCATAAAGGAAAAAAAAAAACTTGAGAGGATAGGGATGCTGCCAGAGATACTACACGTGGACAAGAATGTGGTTCAAGAGGCTGTGGATTACCTCAACACTCTATTCATATCAACAAGTCAAGAGAATGTGGAAGATGAAGAGATGCAAGTAGATGCAAACTGAACTGAAGTCAAACAAAGGAAGAAGGTTCTAGTGAGACTGCCACACATAACCAGTGAGAAGCTAAGAACATGAATGCAAATAGTATGTGCTGTGTTATTATTTTTTGTTTATTACAACATGTCAATCATTGGTTAGGTGTCTTTTGTTTTAAGTTATGCAAAGTATTGTTGTTAGGCAGTCTTAACAACCTATAAGTGGGAAATGTACAAGTTTTTGTCAACTTCTATAAGTCTTAATTACAAAGGTGGTTGTTTTTATTTACATGTACATAACAAAACCATCATCTACATGTGCAAAACAGAGACATAGCATCATTCCATCAGATGGTATATTTTTTTTTCATAGACATTGCATAACTGGTTCCCTCAACAACTACCATCTGGAGTAGTTGGAGCAACTCCAAGTTATGAATGTTAGCTGTCAACTGAGTCCCTTCATCAGTTGGAATTTACAGGCACACACAACAAAGTGAGGGACTCTTATGTAACCTAGGGACATATATGAGATAGGGGGACTCATACAGGAACAGTCATGCAGCCCACAAGTTCATCATCATTCACCATAGCACAAACCCCATTGCCAATTGGACATGAAATTACCAATAGCCCATTCACTGCCCACCAACAGCTACCATGAATATCAGACAAATCATACAGCATTTTAAATTTTTAAAACAGGACAACCACCAACTAAAGCTTTGAGCAAACCCACCATAAGGGCAACCAGATCAAAATTAGGGCAACCAGAGCAAAAATAGGGCAACCAGAGCATAAATAGGGCAACTAGAGAAAAATTGGGGAAACCAGAGCAAAATTGGGGAAACCAGAGAACAATTAGGGCAACCAGAGCAAAATTAGGGCAAGGACAGCAAAATAAGGACAACTAGACCACAAGTAGGCCAATCAGAGCACAATTACGCCAACCACAACAAAATAAGGGCAACCAGACCAAAATTAGGAAAACCAGATCAAAATTAGGGCAACCAGAGCACAATTAGGGCAACCAGAGCACAATTAGGCCAACAACAACAAAATTAAGGCAACCAGAGCACAATTACGCCAACAAGAGTAAAATTAGCGCAACCACAACAAAATTAGGACAACCACAACAAAATTAGGACAACCAGAGCACAGTTAGGGCAACCAGAGCACAATTAGGCCAACAAGAGCAAAAATAGGCAACCACAGCAAAATTAGGGCAACCACCATGAAAGACGAACAACAATTAACAATTTAAACCACATAATTGACCAGCATCAAGACCCACAATCAAAATTAGGACAACCAGCATGAAATACGAACAAAAATTAACAATTTAAGACACATAATAGAATGTAGGTAAAGAAATGCGTTACGCTGCTAGATTAGTTTGAGGTAGAGGTGAAAGGGGTGTACGACCCTGCACTTTCAACAGATTCAGCCATAGGGGACTTAGATCTCAAGCGCTTTCTCCCAGTCTTGACGTGGGTGCACTTAGATCTGACCTCACGCACCTCCTCCTTAACAGATCTACCCTCTACAGGGGTTGGAAATGGGGTATCGTCATCATCGCTATCAAGAATAACGATTTCAGGAGCCTTCTTGACGGAAACCTCAACGTCTTTGCCCAGATCTGGCTTCGACGCCTCACTACGCTCCTCATCTGAGTCGTAAGGAGTCAGTTTTGCACCCCACCCATCTCTACGTTTCATATCAAGGTACATAGCAGTACGCGTCCCTATCAAACGTGATTAGGGGATTTTGCTCCCACCAATCACCATCTGACAAGTGGACCAATTAGGTTCCGCCATGTGTCCGTCACATGGGCCAATAGGAGCCTGCCACGTGTCAAGCAATGATCCGTCCACCTTGGACCAATTACGACACGACACGTGTCCTTCCCATGACACCTGGGATAACCGGTCACCTAGGCCCAACTTCCGAGGGAAGCCCAATCAGCCCAAGGTTAACCTAAACCTAGATTGGCACGTTTCCCGAGGTTATAAATACCTCCCTTAATCCTCATTAAGGGGGAGGACAGGCTGATCACGCTAAAAAAGCAGATTACCTACATTAAACACTCTCACCTAGAGAGACCCAATCACTTTAATTTCCGCATTAATTACTCCTTAATCAAGTACTAACTTGACCGTTGGAGGCGGAGCTCCCACCACCAGGAGTCTCCGTTGTTTTGCAGGTACAGGCGTCCGGTTCCAGTCTCGGAATTGTAACTCTCCCGCAGGACATCAGAAAACCCCGAAACATTTGGCGCCGTCTGTGGGGAGAGTACTTCTGAGATGGCATCCACGTCTGTACCGACTCCTGAAGAGAGGCGTCCCCTAGACGACCCTTAAGTTCAGTCGGACCACGATACTGAGAATGAATTTGAAGTTGAAGCTCACACAGCTTCAGACGGGACCCTAAGGGCCCGACGTACCCGTCATACCGAAAGGAGGGAACGGAAACATCTTCATACAGGAAGCGAGCCAGCAGGCGCACCGCCTGTTCGGCAGCAGCCGACTGATGGGTCTGCTCCCATCACAAGGAACGAACTCATGACCTTCATGAGGGACTTCAAGGGAGAAATTCAAGAGTTGATCAAGAAGAAGCCGCCTGCTCTGGACAAGGAGCAGTCGGCTAAGAAACCCTCCACTTCACAGAAGAGGAAGCCAGTTCAAGGGCAAGAGGCGACCCCTCATCCTAAATCTAGGAAGAGGGAGCCGCCTGCCCTTGATTTCACAAAATGTTGTTTTCCTACTCTAGGAAATAGGAAACCTGTTCGTCATATTCAGGCGGACGGGTCGAGGAAAACATACACAGACGCTCGGCTACTGCTAGAGCAGAAGAAGAGTGACCGATTGTCAGAGTTGGCCTCTACTTCAAACTTCCAAGACAGTCTGCGAAATACCTCGATGAGGCATACTCAGTCGTATCATGAGAGTCAGTCAGGCGGCACCTCCCGTCAGTCCGGCTATCATAGCGACCAGGCGGTACCAAACTTACCGTTTGTACCGCAACAACAGTATTTCTTACAGCCACCTCCGTTTGGTGGACATGCAGCAAAAAACGTCCAACCTATGGACTGGCAGCTACGGTTGCTTAGACTTGGCGAACAGCCGTCGGCCTTCTCCAAGGAAATTACTGAAGCCGCTCAGCCAGCCAAAGTGAAAAATGTATTAGTAGGCGCCTATGACGGCACTACTAACCCAGAAGACCATCTGATGGCATTCACCAACCTGATGTACCTTCAAGGGTTGGATGATCCCACTTGGTTCAAGTGTTTCCCAGCAACTCTCAAAGGGATCGCACAACAATGGTTCGGCAACCTACCGACTGGTTGTGTAAATAGCTTCAGGACGCTTGCTTACTTATTCACCTCCAACTTCACCATGAACATCCCTGCGAAGAAGACGACTCTTGATTTAGGAACAATTCAGCAGGGAGAGAAGGAGGGGCTTCGTTCTTACATCAGGCGGTTTAACCTGATGAAAATACAAATTCAAGGGTTACCGGATGAAGTAGCCTATACTGACTTTTTCAGAGGTCTCAAAGACGGGTCGACCTTCAAATTTGATTTGGTCCGAAAGAGGGTGGCGACTCTTCAAGAGGCCTTGATTGAAGCGGAAGCCTATATACAGGCGACTGATTTTTGTAGTACGGGAAAACAGTCGGACGGAAAAAGGTCCGACAAAAGAGAAGGACGACAGAGGCATTCGTCCAACAAAGACGAGAAGAGAAAAGAGGTCTGGGCGGCTGATTCCTCTAAACAGCCGGCCCAGAAAAAGAAAAAAGAATTCAAACCATACTCCCCAAAGTATGCGTTTAACAAGGATAGCCAATTTATCCTAAAGGAAATCAAGGGACGGATCTCAATTGAGAAGCCGGTCCCCATGAAGGGTTCTGCAAACTATCGGAACCAAGAAAAATTCTGTGATTATCATGAAGATGTTGGTCATCACACCAATGATTGCATCAGTCTCATGCGGTATCTGGACCGCCTGGCTGAGCAAGGTGATCTTGACACTTATGTCAAGAAATCAACGGGGAACACTTCCTCAAAAAAGCAGTCGGCCAAAAAGAATGAAAAGGCCGACAGCTCTGATACAGATGATGCAGTCGTCTACACCATTGCAGGCGGCTTCTCAGGAGGCGGCCCCACTATTAGGGGCAACAAAGACAATATCAGGCGGTTAGATGTAAATTCCGTTCACCAAGAACGACCCTCCAAATATTCATTTCCTGAGATTGTCATCACTGAAGAAGATCTAGGAGGGGTAAGAGGGCCGCATGACGACCCTATCGTTATTGAATGTAAAGTGGCCAACCAGAGAGTTGGCCGAATCCTCATAGATACCGGAAGCTCCTCAGATCTCATTAGTAGCAAATGTCTGTCGAAACTAAAATATCAGACTGATTGCATACATCCGGCCTCCCACCCTTTAGTAGGGTTTGGAGGAGGAGTCGTCCACCCAGTGGGACGAGTGGATTTACCCATCCGCCTGGGCGAAAAAGGGGAAGGACGACACATGGTAGTCCGGTTCCTGGTAGTAAAAGAACTCTCGGCCTACAACATGATTCTGGGACGACCAACCCTGAATAATTCCAAGGCTGTTATAATCCCATCTCTTATGTTGCTCAAGTTT